GAAAAATAGTAAAAATAGATTAGGGTCAAAGAGGACTGACTTGAGAAATGTTGAGGAAATAAAAGAAGTTGACTGTATTTTCACTTATTAATTTGAAAATCAGGCCATTATTTCTTAGCATTTTTGAAGGCCTGATGTCTATTCTTAACCTGACACTTAGTGCATGTGATCTTGAAAAAGCCATTTATCATCTTTTAGTAACTGAGTCCTCATCTTAAAAAAATAAGCGAGGAATTGACCTAAATAAGCACTGTGCTTTCTTTAAACCCTAAAATTTATGAACCTATGAGGTAAATTCATCTCCTATTAAATCATAGAATCATAAAGTATATTTTTAGGATCTAACACAACACCTAAACTATAAAATATACATTGTGTGAAAAACATTGAATCTACCTAGCCAACAGGTATTAAACTTGAGATTTATTAAATCCTCCCTCTTCCTCACACAGCACATTCATTACCAAGTTCAGTTGTTTGATATGTATTGCCTACTGGCAATTCTTTGATTTATGTCCTTATTACCTTTTAACTGTATCCCTGCAATAGCACCTCCAGTGTTCTCTCTGGCTCAATCTAATCCTCTTCCAAACACTCTCTGAGAAATTGAAGAATTCTGGAGTCAGAAAGACCTAGGCTTGCATGCTAAGTCGACTATTTCTTAACTGTATGACTGCCAGTAAGTTATTTAACCTCTCTAATTTTCCTTATCTGTAAACCATAGGAATTATATGAAGATTAAATGTTTCTAAATTGTTTAGCATAGTGCCTATCACATGGTAAGACCTCAACACAGATTACTTAATATTTTGAAAGACACATATCAAAAAGAGTTGAGTCAGTACTTCACAAAAGATAGGGTATAAATGACAGTGACAGAGTAAAAGAGTTATATTATAAAGATCTCTCAGTACCACTAAGGAAAATTAAAAGGCCAACTAAAAAATGAGAAAAGATTTTTCATTAGTTATCAGCAAAATGCAAATTAATACTTCTATGAGTACAATTATATATTCAAGTGCTGATGGGGATGTAGAGTTTTCAGATACTGCTGCTGGGAGTGCAAAATGATACAACCAACTGGGAACAAGACTTCGGAATTACTTAATAAAATGAAAGGTGTGCATATCCGAGACTTAGCAATTCCTTCCCTGATATCCTAGAGAAGTTCTTGCACATATGTTATTGAGTCTAGGAGCAATAATGTATATAAGCATAAAACTGATGTTTTATGCATATACTTATATTAGGTAAACAATATAGAAACAAGCCAAATGTTCACCAATAGCTAAGGTATTTTGGTATATTCATAGAAAAAAATACTATACAATAATTTACATGACTAACACATGTAGGAATAAAGAAGAAGCTCAAAGTATTTAGCAAATACTCATGCAAAAAGAATATGAAGATGGCAATTACAAATACATAGAATTGAAGCATAGACTAAAAGTAAGAGTTATAGTATTGAGAAACACATATAGATGGAAAGCTTACAGAGAAAAGCAAGGAGTAACCTGACAAAGGCAGGATAGCAGTTAGTGGTTGCCTTCAGTGAGGAAGAAAATGCATGAGAAATGAAATGGACACACAAGGAGTTTGCTGGGGGCCTTTTCCTTAATATCAGTGGTAGTTACATGATGTTTGACTTATAATTATTCTTTAACTTGTACAAGCTTTATATACCTTAATGTGTCTGACATATTTCACATCTAGAAAATAAGTTGATCATGTGATTCTCCTATTTAAAATCTTTTTTTAAAGACTTTTTTATGATTCATTTGAGAGATAGTTACAGATCGAGGGAGAGACAAAGACAAAGGTCTCCTATCCTCTGATTCACTCCTGAAATGGCCACAATGGCCAGAGCTGGGCCAATTTGAAGTCAGGAGCCAGGGGCTTCTTCCGGTTCTCCCACATGGATGCAGGGGCCCAAGCACTTGGGTCATCTTCTACTGCTTTCCCAGGCCATCACAGAGGAGCAGCCAGGACATGAACCGAACTGGCACCCATATGAGATGCTGGCACCACAGGTGGAGCAGACTTAGCTCACTAGGCCACAGTGCTGGTCTAGTTAGAATTAAAAAGGAGAGAATGATCCTACATGGGAAGTGGGATACAGAGCAGACTCATGAAATGGCAAACACCTTAAACAGCACTCTGGTCTCAGAATCAGCCCTGAAGGCATTCAGATCTGGCTAAAAAGACCATGAGAGTTTCACAGGCATGGAAAGCCAAGACACTGTGGCAAAAAAAAAAATGACCTAAATGAAATATCTCTGTGAGTGAGATCCCAGCAGAAAGAATGGGCCATCAAAGAAGGAGGTACCTTTCTCTGAAGGGAGGAGAGAACTTCCACTTTGACTATGGCCTTACTAAATAAGATTGGAGTTGTGAACTCAAGAGGCTTCCATAGCCTTGGCAGCTCATGACAAGACTCTCGGGTGATTACTGACACCATAAATAAGAGTGTCAATTATTAAATCAACAACAGGAGTCACTGTGCACCTACCCCTCATGTAGGATCTATGTCCTTAATGTGTTGTACTATGCGAATTAATGGTAAAACTACTACCCAAATAGTACTCTATACTTTGTGTGTCTGTGTGGGTGCAGTCTGTTGAAATCCTTACTTAGTATATACTAAATTGATCTTCTGTATATAAAGATAATTTAAAATGAATCTTGATGAAGAATGGAATAGGAGAGGGAGTGGGAGATGGGATGGTTGCAGGTGGGAGGGAGGTTATGGGGAGAAGAGCCACTATAATCCAAAAGTTGTACTTTGGAAATTTATATTTATTAAATAAAAGTTGAAAAAAAAGAAAAGTAAAAAAATCATAATAATAAAAATAAATAAAATCTTTTAAAAGAACTTCACTCTGGAATAATATCCAAACTCCGTAGCCTTATCAAAGAAGCCTCTCATGATTTGTCTCCGTTGTCCCCTGCCACTATAATTTATGCCCTAGCACAGTAGATGATACTGAGTGTCCCACACATAATTTGGTACTGTGCATTAATTCCTCAAGCTAAGTTCTTAACATGTTTAATAATCCACTAAAATATCACTTTTTTTTTTGGACAGGCAGAGTTAGACAGTGAGAGAGAGACAAGAGAGAAAGGTCTTCCTTTTTCTGTTGGTTCACCCCCAAAGTGCCCACTACAGCCGGCGTATTGCACCGATCTGAAGCCAGGAGCCAGGTGCTTCCTCCTGGTCTCCCATGCAGGTGCAGGGCCCAAGGACCTGGTCCATCCTTCACTGCCTTTCCGGGCCACAGCAGAGAGCTGGACTGGAAGAGGAGTAACCAGGACAGAATCCGGGGCCCCAACCGGGTCTAGAACCCAGGGTGCTGGCGCCGTAGGCAGAGTATTAGCCTAGTGAGCTGAGGCGCTGGCAAAATGTCACTTCTAAGATGGGTGCTTGGCCTAGTAGTTTATATGCCAGTTAAGATGTCCAGATCCCCTATCAAAGTACCTGGGTTCAAGTTCTAGCTGTGTATGTTGACTTTCCTCTTGTCCCTATCTCAAATAATTTTTTTTTTTTAAAAAGCACTTCCTCTGAGAAGCCTTCCTGGACTTATCCCCTCCACATCTGTACTAGATTGTGTGCTGCACTTCCTTTGGCATCCTGTATCTACCTACCTCTGTGACAGTAAATTACAAGTACCACATTATTTAGAATATTCCTATCCCATTAATAGCACATTTTATTATAAATCTCACACTCATGAGACTGAAATTTCCTTTAAAGCAAGAACTTTCTTTCAACTATCCCTAAAACTGAGCATGATATCTACATCACAGATTCTTAATAAATGTTTACTTAATGAATACAAGATTACAATGAGGACAGCACAATAAATGTGTTCTACGTCACTAGGAGTAACATGTAACTCCACAAATGAGGTTCAGCCCATGTAAGATGACCCTTATTTTAGGTCAAAAATGGTTGATTATTGATAATTATACATGATTCCTTCTTTGTAACCAACACTCATTGAATAAGTGTTGATTAAGCACAGTACAGTGAAGACTATTAGATCAGCTTTCTCAATATAATCACAGGCCACTATAAAAAATCGTGTTGTGAAACTATACAATGGATGTCATCAAGACTTTGCAGTTATAAGCCATGCACTAACTCACAGAGCAGCCTACCTATTACAGAATTCCATAAGCCAGTAGACACTGATCACTAGCTCAAAAGAGCTTCTTTTGGAGTCTTACAAGCACTATTGTCATACTCTACTTCTCAAAAACGCTATTTGACAGATTATAACTCATTCATCGCTGCTGGAGTCTATTGACTATTGACTTTGGTGACTAAGAAGCATCAAGCATTTGATTTAAAAAGATATTTTAGCTGTGTGTTCTCCTATTTATATAAAATAGTAAGTTATAAAAGTTTTATCAACTAGACAGAGCAACTGAATTGGATTTTAATATTTTGTATTGAACAAAAGAATTTATAAGCTAAAATGCTCACAAACTTAGCTTTATGAAACTGTGATGTGATTTTCTTCCTTTATTTCTGAAACCCTAAATATTAAGTGCATGTGTATGTGTATGTGTGTGTGTCTATGCAAGTATTTCTGAAAGAAATTTATCATCATAATATAGCTCAGAACCATATTTTCTGTTAAAAGATTAATCAATAAAATAGTATTATGCTGCAAATAGGAAAATCTGCTTAAAAATAATGTATCCAACTGTTACTCTGCCATATGAAATTATTAATTGTAGCCATCTTACATAGACTGATATTGTCATCCACAGGGGCCATATCATGGTGCATCTCAAGACCTTGTACTGCTATAGGTGTTATCATTAGTACCACATCATCAATTAAACATTCTTTCCCATTGATTTTCTCTTTTTTAGTTGACATTATTTGGAGCAGTATCTTTTCTGATCCAAATGTTAAATATGCAATATCTCAATTGGCTATGCAGCTCACTGGTTTCATGCTAAGGATCGTTTTTAAACTCATAACTCACCACTGCTTGTAAGGTTTCTCATCGATAGGAACTGGGTCTAATTCAACAGCTTCTTGCATACATTGCCATAACGAAGATCTGAGATGGTCCTGCTGTTGGTATTTCTCACACTAGCCTAAAATCAAAGCAAGAACACAGATGGGTTTTATTTTAAGATTTAAATGAGAATTGCACTTGCACTTTGAAAAAACGAGACTGACATCAAAGACAATTGGTTCCCAGGTGGCAGGGTACAAAGAGAAGAAATGAAGCATCTCAGGGTGTATAACTCAGTTCAGAATTTACCACAAGCACAAATATTTTGGTGCTACCAATACCAGATTATGTGGGCAGTTTAAAGTCTGTACATATGCCTAATTAGTAACTGTTATTTGGATTGTTGGGATATTTGTTTTTGTGATAGACATGGATTTGGTTTTGTAATGTAAGCCTCACTAGCAGCCTCACCTGAGGCAGCTCCACTATTACAGCTGTCTGCATATCCTCCTTCTCATATAAGATTTCAATGGAACAATGGGTTATATTTTTAGCAATAAAAGGAAGAGAGAAATTTATAAACCTCTGATATGTATAAAATAAACTGAAGTCGATCTGAAGTTAGAACGAGACCTGTAGTTATGTTCTGTCATAATATGACCTAGTTACACACCTACTTTTTCAATCTTATTGCACTTTACTTCCCAATATTAGAGTGGACCAGATTTTCCATAACTGTACCAGTTCCCAAGGTTCCACCCATTGTAAAAATGTAAGGTTTTGATTTCTAGTTTGAAAAGTATGGGCACCATCCTCAGAATCAGCCTCCTCTCTGCTCTCAGTAAGAATATCTTTCCTGGCCAGATGCTCACAAACACTCCTTTGTAATACCCATCCCACCACCCTCTCCAACCCCAATCTCTACCCCCAATATGGCCTCCATTCCCACTTGCCACCATGTCAGAGGAGATAAATTTGTCCTCTGAATTTGTATTTCATCTATTGTCAAATCACTCACTCATATGGGCCTTTGACCATATGCCATCTTTACTGTTATGTAACCTCATGTCCCCACATGTCTCTAAGCTACATACGGCAGAAACTTTGTTCTAGCTTCTTTTTTTTTTTTTTTTTTTTGACAGGCAGAGTGGACAGTGAGAGAGAGAGAGACAGAGAGAAAGGTCTTCCTTTTGTCTTTTATCGTTGGTTCACCCTCCAATGGCCGCCACGGCCAGCACACTGCGGCCGGCGCACTGTGCTGATCCGAAGCCAGGAGCCAGGTGCTTCTCCTGGTCTCCCATGCAGGTACAGGGCCCAAGGACTTGGGCCATCCTCCACTGCACTCTCGGGCCATAGCAGAGAGCTGGACTGGAAGAGGAGCAACCAGGACAGAATCTGGCGCCCTGACCGGGACTAGAACCCAGTGTGCCAGTGCCACAGGCGGAGGATTAGACTATTGAGCTGCAGCGCCGGCCTGTTCTAGCTTCTCAATCTCTTCTGCTCATAGAACTTAGCAGAGAACTCTGTACATGGGTGACATTCATTCAATGAGACTTTATTTTGCCCCTACTATGTGCCAACAGACAACATTAGTCCCTGACAGAGGTAGCAATTTCGTAGAGAACACAAGTAACGTGGGAACAGGTGATTACTGTACTACATGGTAACTGCTGACATGAAGCTTTGTTCTATAGACACCGGAAACACATTTCCAAATAAATAGGCCTAAGATCTCTATTCACCATCGGTGTTTTCAAATCTTATTTCCAATTTGCTTTACGAAAGTCATTCTCAGGAAGCATCTAGAGCATTCAGTCTGGTTAACATCCACAAGCCAGGAGTCAGCTTGGCTTCTAAGAAGTCAAGTCACTAAGGTGAATTCCTAGCACTATTAAGCTAATGCTGTTTTTGCTTTGGTTTTGATTCTTCCTATTATACAAAAAAAAAGCGAGATAAATAGAGAAATATCACTTGTAACTGTACAGATCATTCAGCAAATGCCTCATTGTCCTGAAAGGGAGCATTGCCTTAAATCTGCAGGGTTTCAGAGTGGCTGTGGTTAGGAATGCTTCCAAGCAGACTTAAGTGTTTTTTCTTCTACTCTAAACTTGAATTTCCATTCCTAGAAGTACTATTTCTATAAGCCTGTGAGCTTCATGTATCAGAGTCACAGATAACAGTGAAGGAGGCCATAGTGGCATATTATGGATCCACAACATCTGTTGAACTAGAAAATCCTTTACCAAAAATGGGCATGAGTTTGAGGTCTACTTTTCAAACCTATAATGTTTCTCTCTACTTAGGGATTTTCATTATTACCTGATGCCATTGCTTGGCATTTCTAACAAGATTCACAATGAGAAATGAAGATTCTCTCCATTAAATACAGAGGAAAATTTAAAAAAAAAAAAAAACTGGTAACCAAAACATAAAGGTATTTTCATTTTCCCCTTCTTTGTCTTGATTTGCTCATAAGGATAAAATGGATTCAGACCCGAAAGTCTGGAGTCAAATTTTTACAACTTCACTAGGAAAACACGTACACATAGGTCAATCTCTGGAACCTGGGCACCAATCATAAATCATGTTTTCTCTTCCAAACAATCAAACTGCAGCATGATCTTTTATCTGAATCAGTAGCACAGTGTCTCATCTCAGACTTATGTAATGCAACAAATATATCCAATGTGCTAAAGAAACAGATGAATCTCTTCTGCCTTTCCTGCATCTCCCCCAGCAGTCTGAGGCCCAAGTTTTTCCCCAAGTCCTTGATCCTCATAAGAAGGTGCATGCATAATAGATGTGTGTGTGGTAGGAAGGCGGCACTCAGCAAGCCTGCAGCAAATGCAGCCTTGTACTCATTCTTGCTGTTACTGGACACTTCTGTGACTCTTTTTTGCATGATTGTTGCAGTGCCCAACCAAAAGCTCAAAAAGAGATTGCAAAAGGAAACTGAACTGTCAATGAGGAAAAGATTTAAATCACCCATGTATTTGCCTATTATTCTAATTGCAGGAAGTCTCTTTCACTTTGATTTTTATTATTCTGATAAACAACCAAGCAATCATTCAATTCTAACCCACCAGCAAAGTCCTTTAGCTGCCAGTGTGACCTGAGGCCAGAACTAGAGCAAGAAGGGAAGCCATTGGTTAACAGAAGAGACATTAACAGACAAGAATGAGGACATTAGCAGACAAGAAAACTCCCAGTTGGTCTTCCTCATCATTGACATGGGAAGATTTTGTAACTAAGCTTACAGCCTAAGAAATAGATTCACTGACATGAAACCACGATAAAACTTTAAAGATATATGTGTGCCTTTAAACATGGGGAGCTCTTTCATGTTATCTAAAGAAATTCCTTTTACATATGATATTCCTGAAGGATACACTAACAAGGGAAATCCCATGAAATGTCCTGTAAATTTTAAATACTTATATGCTATTGCACCCACACACTCCCGATTCACTCTAACCTTGAAAAATATGGACCACGTACTATGAAACCTTTAAATACTGATAGCTACAGACGTACCAGACAATGACAGCAAAAACCACACTCAGTCCCTCTGGGATCTGCTCATAAACATCCCCTTGCAGCGAGGCAAACACACTCCTCCCAGCAGCAGATGCTGCTCTTGGGGGGAGCAGGCAGGAAGCTGGAGGCAGCTGATGTCTCCACTCTGCATCTCATTTCTTATCGCCTCATCACCAAGAATCTTTGTACTGAAACTGTGAAGATTTTGTAAGAACAGGAAGCCCCTCAAATTAAAGATACTTTAATTTGCACCAGCAGGAGGGAAGGATATGTAAATGAGGAAACAGGAAGACTAATAATTAAGGTCATGCCACCTTTGTCATCTGATTTTCTAGTTTCATTGTGGGGGAGCAAAAATCCAGTTTGCGCCATGTGATCAAGGAAGATAACCCAAGACTTTCTGTCCATTCTGAGAATAAGCTCAAGGTAAAGAAGGGAGTACATACGAGGGGCAGCAGAATCGCTCCATTCAAACTGTCCAGCCCTAAGACCCAGGGGTCAGAAGCCTGTGAGCTCACTCAGGAGCCCTGCTACCTATACTCACAACATGCATGCTTACCTAAAGCAGAAAATTTACAGAAGACTCCCTGGGCGAAATGGTCACCACTGCAACCATTTTAGACCATTGGTCAGCATTCTGTGGGATATTCCATGGTCCAGCAACTGGCAGGGAGAAACTGGACCTTGGGCTGGCAATGCCTGGTGTACCAACACCCATTTTCCTTGTGTCTCAGCGGTGGCCTGTCCCATATGACTTAGCCTGCCTCTTTCCCGTCAGCTCGTGAAAGTTACCATCAACACACCAGAAGCAGACAGGGCTGCTGTATAGACATTGCCAGGCTCTGCAGCAAAGGCTGCCCATGTAAACAGCCCTGTGACCGCTCCAGAGCCTACTGCCATGGGACAAGCCATTCTTTTCCTGTGGCTGCAACTGCCGTACCTTGGGAAGTTATTTGTTTAAGGATGTAAAAACAGAGACTCTGTCTTCAGATTCAAAGGAAAAAGGATAAATAAATATATATATATATATATATAATTTTCTTGGACTATCTATATAACCTGACTTAGTTGAAGATTTTCCAATATATCACATTTATTTTCCTGAAGGCACAAATACCAATATTCTGATAAACTGACATGCTCACTGACTATGATACACCTGTATTCTTTTTTTTCCAAAATAGCTCTGACATTTCTAGGGGACACAGTATCCCAGTATAGAATACCTGGGAATCTTGCCATTAAAAAACAATGAAGAAGAAATCTGCCTGGTGTGACTAGGAGATCACTTTCTTAAAGTGACCCCTTACCTATGTGACTGCAGTGTCAACGATTCGTCTTATCTCTAGCCTGACCCCTGTTCTGTGCTCCCCTTCCCATCCCAGATTTAGCCTGGAGTTGCTCTGCAAGAGTAGTGCCATTGCTTTTGCACCTAAAATACATATAATTACCATCCCTTACTTAAACATAATTCCAAATATTTATTTAAGTTATACCTCTCAGGGAGTAAACATAAATGCATACTAAAAGACATGATTTTTTTTAATGTTTTATGGAACCCATAGCAATTCTCAGAAATGGTACTGAGGTCAGCACTTCTGACAAGCACAGCTGTTTTCTCTCTTCTCCTCCTCCTCCTCCTCCACCCCCCAGCGTATTTGCTCCTCAAGATCTTCCCTTCTATAGCTGTGCATTGGTCTAAAGTCCCCTGGTCACAATAAGAATGCTCCCTCCCACCTTCTGTCACCCCTCACTCCAAACAGCAAGGCTTCAACACGCCCGAGTCTAGGAAGAGGTGTGCGGCACAGAGGAAAATGCTGGTGGTTTCTGGCCTTGGAGAGTTCGCTTGATTCACCTGCTTCCCACCCCATCTCCCTGCCCACCTCCCCACTTCAACTCCCCCTCCCACCCCACCAGGAGCAATCACCCCACCCTCCAAACCCAGGTCGGAGCCGAGAATGAGCAAATAGACACCTACCATTCCGTGCCTGAGAACTAGGGTCCTGATCCGGCAGTCTTTGCCCCAGAAATCCTCCCTACTTGCTTCTCATTAACCACATTCCGAACTGTGACAAGGAGGAGATTCCTTAGAGGTGGGCAAATGGTTTAAAATTAATGATGGACAGGTGATTTCCAAGAAAGCCCAATCTTAAACTCACTCACACCCCTAGAAATTGAGGGGTGAGGCAAAAAAAAGAAATTTGTAAAAATGAAAAAAGAAAAGAAAAAGGTAAGCATGTAATAAGCACCACCCACCCCCATAAAAATAAAAAGAGAAGGGGAGGTTTAGAAAAGAAAAGGAAAAAAAAGATGACGACGAGGACGAGTGGCTTGCTGAATCACCCTCTTTCACTGCCTGGAAACCATTGTGCAGCGTGATGCTGCCGGTACCATTGTGGAACCTACCAGAGGAGACGGACAGAGGGCTTGGGGAATGGGGTTTCTATGGCAACCGAAAGGAGCACACATGACGTCAAAGCCCAGAGAGGTCTAGGGAGGGGTACAAGGGGGGAAGAGAGAGGGGAAAAAGTCTATGTGCGGCTACAAGCTCCAGCGTTTTCTGCTGAAATGAGGACCGGGCAAAATGTAAAAGAACGGGGTGCCTTGGAAGCCGGAATCTGCAACTCCATCCGGGAGCCTTCTGCACAACACAGAAAAACAATTTCCTCGGCGCAGCTCTGTCCCTTTGCCCTGCAGCCCTGACTGAGGAACAAATTCGCAAATTCGCAGACGGAAAAAAATATTCAAATGCAGGCAACCTCTGCTTTTCACCTCTCTGGAGCTTTTTGTAAACAGCAGGAAGACCCATGCAGTAACTCCAAATATCAAAACAAGCTAGATGCACAATCACGTCGGGGGAGAAGGGAGCACTAGTCTTGCCTGGACCCCAGGGTCGTTTGCACCGCACTCTTCCCCTTCCCTGTTTGCTGTTTTCCTAAAAATCCTGATAAACAACCACTAAACCAAACTCACCAGACTAATGCTGAGCTTGCAATTTGAGTGCAGAAAGAAAATACTGATTATTTAACAAATCAAGATTTTTTTTTAATTGCAGATAATTCCCTGGAAAACTGGTACAAATAACATTATTACTATTTGCTGCAAATATCTCAAATTTTATTTAAGTAATTTGCTTTGTTTTTGAATATTACAAGGGTATTTTAAGTCTCCAGAGAATTTTATATCTATAAATAGTTTCTTGCAACAAGAACAGTCCACTAGTTTTACTAAAAAAAAAAAAATTAAGTTCATCAAATTTTTTAAAATCTTGTTGTACATAAGGAAAATTTTCACTATGTAATTTGCTGAAACCAACTCCAGCCCTTGGATTTCTCAAATTACATGATATGATGCAATTCTTTGTTCACTTAAACACCTTTGGGGTGGGTTTCTAACTATTGCAATCCAGTCCTAGGGCTGGGTTTACACAAATCCAAATGGTTTTAGAGCTATCCTACTTATATGAGTCAGGGGCTTTCTCCATATGTTAATGGAAAAATCATAACAGTCAACACATAAACTTGGTAGTAATTGTGGACAGTGAAGTACATCATAAACTGCATGGGACCACAAAAGTTTTTAGTGTTTTTGTTATTGTTACTGCTGTTTTGTTCAGAAAGAAAATTACAAATATATATATACATATATATATATATATATATATATGGTGAGCTTTCTGTCATTTTAGTCCATTGGACAAGTTTTTTGATGTCTCTTTGCTCTAATTTCAAATTCAAAAAAGTTGATTACCTTTAGTCTTCACAATTAGCCTACCTCTACAAGAAGACTGCTTCTGGCAAAAACATGGATTGATGGCCAATTTCATTATCCAAAGTAACTGGCATTTGGCATTCTAGTTTTTAAATTATTGTAGTTTAGGTTTAGATATAAAAAGTCAATTCCCAATAATTTAATATTAATGTGGAAAATAAACTTCAACTCTTCTCTCATTGTAAACATAAATATTAATTCAAGATGAATTGTATACCTAATATAAAAGCTAAAAGCTAAAAAGCTAATAAAATATCTTTTGGAAGAAAGGATAGCTTTCGTATCTTGAAGTAAGCAAAATTTCTGAAGACACAGAAAGTACTCACCATAATAGAAAATACAAATAGATTTCACCAAAATTAAAAACTTCCACTTATCCAAAATCATCATTAAGAAAATAGATAGATCTTTCTCTCTGTCTCTCTCTCTCACTGTCCACTCTGCCTGTCAAAAAAAAGAAAATAGATAAGCCACAGACTAGAAGGAAATATTCTTTATATACATCTGAAAATATTATTGAGACTCACAGATTTAGATGATTTTAAAAATCTCAATTCAATAAAAAACAATTTGAGCAGGCATTTGACAAAGGAAGATTTATAAGTGACCAATAAGCACATGAAGAAGTATTCAACAGCATTATTCAAGAAACAAATGCAAATGAAAACCACAATGAAATATCATTTCATACACACACACACACACACACACAAATGGCTTAAATTAAAAAGACTAATGCCACCAAATATTGGCAGGGATAAGGAAAAATCAGAACTCTCATTCATTATGTGGGGAAATGGCTTGTCAGTTTTTATAATGATAAACATATACCTCCAGTATGACTCAACAATTCTATTCATAAATTTTACCTAAGAGAAATATAAATGCACCAAAAAAAGTTGTACATAAATGTTTCTGTCAGCTTTATTTGTAATAAACAACCCAGTGTATATAAAAAAAAAATAGAGAAGCAAATTATGGCCTATTCACACATGTGTGTTGTCTGTGATAGACCACTACTCAGCAAAAGAACAAGAAGGGCAATGAGGAACAGGTTAAAATCAACCCTTTCCATCCAGTAGATATTGATTCTTGATAACATTAATTACACAGAGATACATAGCAACCTTGGTAGATTTGGAGGTAGATTTTATCATTCTCAAACTACTCATTTCAGTAATAGTTACATTATTAAAATTGTCATTTATGTCTGGGCAAGGCCAAATCCAGGAGTCAGACACTCCATCTTGGTCTCCCACATGGGTAGCAGGGGGCCTAAGTACTAGGGCCATCTTCTACTGCTTTCTCAGGAACATTAGCAGGAAGCTAGATTGGAAGTAGAGCAGCCAGGACTCAAACAGCACTCCAACATGGGATGCCAGTGTTGCATGCAGTGACCCCCTGTGCCACAATGCCAGCCCCATTACAGTTTAGTTTTAAAAATCAACATGTAAAGGAGTTCCTATTCATTACTGGACAAAACAAAACATTCCTAATGCATTTCTCTATTGGCACTGTCAATCCAACACAATATGTGTGAAAGCCTCTACCTCAAAGAAATTTTTATTAATGAAAAGAGAGAAAAGATACCTATGGTGATTATTGTGTTTGCCATGTAATGTGCATGTATGTAATTACACACACCATATAAACTCTTAACAAAAATGTCCCCTTCCTTTCATTTGGCATTTACTCTACTGTGTTTTGCATTGCTCTAACTTTCTGAGTATATCTTACTTTATGCATCTTTATTTCTCACTGTCTTCCCTGGAAGTTCTATTACCCGGAGCTGAGCATTTCATCTTACACAAGATGAAATAAATATTTGTGACTGATTATAATTAGATATGATTTATCATTCCTTTTCCAGCTAATAAACTTTTTATATAAAATATTATAAAGTATTAAGTTCAGCAATACCCATGTTAAAACAGATCATTTCTATTACAATATTGCATATCTGAACTTTGTATTGAGGTATAAAAACACCTTCACTGTTTCAAACTGTTTAATGTGCTTTCAAGTAAAAATGTACGAGTATTTAACCTAGAAAGATGACTTGATTTCTGTCAGTACTATCAATAAGGGTTTCTGGAGGGGCCAACACTGTGACCTATTGAGTTAGGCAGCCACCTACAACACCCACATTGCATATGGGTGCCAGTTCAAGTCCCAGATGCTCCACTTCCAATCCAGCTCCCTGTTAATATGCCTGGGAAAGTAGCAGAAGATGGCCCAAGTCCTTGGACCCCGGCACCCACATGGGAGATCCAGACGAAGCTCCTAGCTCCTGGCTTTGGCCTGGCAGTTGCAGCCATTTGGGGTATGAAGCAGCAGATGGAAGACCTCTCTCTCTCTCTCTAACTCTGAATTTCAAATAAATTAAATAAATCTTTTTTAAAAAGTTTCTGAAAGATTTTTAAATTATTTGGTGAACGTAAGTTCCTATTTTCAAAAACAGAGTTGTATTTAGTATCCCTCTCTGTAAGTCTCTTAAGTTGGTGGCATGTGCGTTGTCTGTGATAGAAAGATAGATGCAGGAATCTCTTTTGTTCTCCAAGCAAAGACATCTCCCTGTCCTTATTAATACAAACCTTGGGATGTTACATATTCAGTCCAAACCACTAAAACATGCAGCAATAATAGACGAATCCACAAAACAGTATTTTGAGTGAAAAATATGAGTATACACTAATATATTCACTTATATGAAGTTCTAGAACAGAAAACACTCTTTTGTGGTGATAGAAATTAGAACTCTGATTGCCTGATGGAGGCACGCGTTTGAGGACTGTATTGAGAGTTGGGGGAAATGTCTATAGTGATGGAAACGTTCTGCTCTTGATAGAGCCAGGAGTTACCACATGTGCCAGGCGTTGTGTAACTCTTTAGATATGTGCATTTCACTCTGTCTGAATCAAATTGCTGGTAAGACACTTTTAAAATCTATTCTCAAAAGGAAAACTTGCTATGGTGAGCATTTGGCAAAGAAGTTAAGATGCCCACATCCTATATGGTGCCCTTGTTCAAATCCCAGTTCCTCTTCTGATTCTGCCTTCCCACTAATGTGCACTCCAGGAAGACAGCCATGATAGTTCAAGTACTGGAGTTCCTGACATCCAGATGGGAAATCCAGATGGAGTTCCAAGCTTCCGGCTCAGTCCCAGCTGTAGTGGGCTTTTGGGGAATGAGACAAAGGATGCAAGCTTGCTCCCTAGCTCCTGCGCTCTCGCTCTCTCTCTCTCTCTCTCTCTCTCTTTCTCTTTCTCTTTCTCTTTCTCTTTCTCTTTCTCTTTCCTTCTCCCTCTCTCTCTCTGCCTTTAAAGTAAAATGAAAATAAACTTCCAATTTCTCCGTGACCTTGCTAATAATTGTTTTTTAAAAAATTGGGAAAATGTTGAGTGAGCCAATAAGTTAGAGTTCTTAAACACACAATTCTGGTCCGAGGACCTGAATATTAATTTTTCAGACCTAAACAGACCCAGCAATAAAAAAAAAAACCAGATTTACAGTCACCAAGATCTTAAGAGACCCAGCAAACCCTCAAATGAGACAAACTAGTGAGAAAGGAGAGTCACATAAACAAGAACAAGTAGATTCCTAGGTTCTGCTGTGGGAATTCTCATCAGAGGGTCAGGATTCAGATTC